TCCCTATTTCAGTTTTTTTTAATTTGAGTTGTAGTCATCATATACGATACTGTTCTCTTCTTAAAAATAATGAAAATATGTTTACTAACTTTTGAACTAATGCAACAAGTTGTATCCTTCCTTCTTCATAACGAAAAAAAGTATTAGCAAAAAGACTTTACTCTTTACGATATGACTTGAGATAGAGAGAAAAATGAATCTCAACCTTCTTTCTGAATTTCTTAAAAAGACTTATGCTGTCACAAAATCTATACTCTCTTTCATCCACTAGTTTTTGATCCTAATAAAGTTAAAAAGATATTACCTTTTAAAATTGCTTCTAATATTTCAATATATTACATTAAAAACTTAAAATTTTAAAAAAATGTGTAAATTTTCTTATTTAATAAAAAGCATAGAGACCAATAAATATTGATTAGTTTATTTTCTGTTTAAACACCAATCAAAAGAATACATATAAGTCTTATATAATTTGTTATATAAAACTTTAAATAACCCTAATGATTCAAAGAAATAATTTCATTTATTATTTTAAGATTTTAACAAAATAGAAAAGTTTAGCTTTAGTTTATATTTTAGTTGATTTTTTTATTAATAAAATGATTAAGAGTTTTTTTAATAATTATTTTCATTAATATTTAAAAATATTTAATAATTTTTCTAGATTCTTTAAATTATTTATAGTTAAATGATAATATTTAAAATTAATAAAAAATCTAATTAATTTTTTAATATTCCAATATTAATTGATTAAAAATACAAAATAATGAATTAAAATTTGATTTTAATGTTAATTTTAAAGTTTTTTAATTTGATAAAAAATATAAAAATTAATTACATAAAACCCTTATAAATGACAATTAGAAAATACTTTAGAACAATCTTTTGTTGGAATAGAGTATCAAATGAATTACCAAATGAGGTAGAAAATGATGTTAAAAATACCATGAAGAAGAAATTAATTGAGAATTCTAAAATAAAAAATCAATCTATAATTCAATTACATTCGATTTACGATAAAGTAGAGAAAGAAAAAAGTGTTAATTCACCAATTTCAAATGATGTTAATCGTAAAGCATTAATCCCTAATAGAAGTTTTTCATTTATTGAATCATTAAATAAATTTAAAAATCAAAAAATAAGCGAATCTCCACCTAAAGAGATTAAAATCATGAATAGAACATCTGAATTTAGTAATTCTATGAAAAACATTCATAATTTTTTTAAAAACAAGAAATTATTACCTGAAAGGATGTTATTTTCGCATAATTTTAGGCATGAACCAATAAAACTTAACACCTCAACCAATGAAAAATTAAATCAATCTGATATAAATAAAAATAAAACTGATAATAACAAGAATCAAAAAATTATAACTGATAATGATGAGTTTAATTTAGAAGATTCTGATATTGAGAAAATGGCAATTGTCTCATGGATGTTTGATTTATAATAAACGGTTAAATAATATTGATTTTATTTCTAAAAACTTTTAATTTATAAATAAAAGTATATTTGTAAAAAATTTATCATATAATTAATGATAAATAATCTCACCTATTAATAATTCATGTAACATTTGAGCTCTAAGTGAGTTTATATCAGATGAACTAAAAACTTGTAAATCATAAATAATATATTTTGCATATTGACAGAGATAGACTCCACAATCATCAGAATTAT